ATGAAGGAGACTTTTGGTTTTACTTGATATTAATTATTGATATTGAATGCTTTTATTGCTGAATACTTTTGGACTATTTTATTGAAGTAATTACTTTCTTAATCCGTAGCGTTTATTTCGTAGTCAGAATACGGCTAAGTTAAATATATATGCGGTAGGCAATATATTTGGACCTTCTATAAGTATAGTAAATCGTGCACATAAAGTAGCTCTACTCGTCTGATTGACACCGTTAACACTCGTCACACACTCCGCAAATTATACACTAAAGAGAAAACTATCTGTTATCTTAAAAATTATGCGTATTAAACGCATCCGCAAAAAAACAAAATACAAGAAAATCAAAAAAAAAATGCAATGGTAAAACGAACTTAATTTGGAGGACAAGCAAAAATAAATGGTTGAAAAAATTTAACGAGCTGCAAAAAAAAAAATAAAATTACAATGAAAACCACAAAGCGCTGTTGTTGTTGTTTTTTTTTTTTTGTGAGTGTCGCATACTGTCATGGTCCGCATGTGTGTGTGACTGTGACTGTATGTGTGCATATTTCGCCTGCCAATCAACTCAACAATCGCAATCAATTTGCACGCTACTGCTGCAGTCAATGGCCACCCCTTAGCAGGCGCTAAAGAGAGAACCGAATGGCTGAGCTTCCCAGTTCGAGAATATTTTCACTGTGCTGCTGCAACTGTCATTTCCATGTGTGAGAGTGCGGGCATGTGTGTGTGTGAGATGTATCAGCAAAAACCAAAATATAAAGTGTTGTCCCCGCAATGCGTTTTTTTTAATTACGTTACTGCACCATTAAGGCCGCAGTGTCTGGCCATGAATCATGACAATGAATATGGAATGAGCCCAAGATTTGCGGCAAACGCTTCAAATAGGATGGGAACATAAACTCACATTCGTGAGTGCGCACAATACTTTAAAAGTTGGCCAAATTTATGGGCATTGTTGACGCCTGACGCCTGCTAATATACAAATTGCCAAGTATTGTTATGCTAAATTTATTTGTGCTTACACGTAAGCTCGGAGCGTAGCGTATGTGTGTGTATATGTATGGTGTAACTTTTGTTGCTGCTGGTAACTTCATCAGGCGCACGATTGAAACGCAGCTTCCGTTTCCGCTTCAAAATGGCTGCCGCTGTTGCTGCTGCTGCTGCTGTGACTTTGCCTGCAAACAAATCAGCTTGAACTTCCGTTTCATTTCGCATTTTTTGTCATTTCATATTCTTTTGCAAGTTACCCTAATTCCCGACACCCTCAGGAATATCTTACAATTTTTACTGTGCATTTTTGTGAAAATTTGCTTTTTACTTTCAGCGTCTGCCGTCAGAAAAGTTATATGCATAGCTAACTTTTAGCTCACATAAAGTATATTTTCATATTTTTTTGCTCCTAACTGGTTTTCAATGTCAATGCACACACACACACATCCCCACACAGCCACATACTCGCTCCCACGCACGCTCATAGGTATAAGGAAACGGAAACTTTGTCTTTTTGGCATTTCATTTCCTTCATTTCGGGCTTTGCACCTTGAAGCGTTATTTCGCACTGCACGTGTATGTAGATTTCAATGGGACCGTGATTCTGTTTAATTTTATGCTCGGCTGCTTATTTAAATTCTTTCCCTCGTCTGCGTTTAAATTCTGTTTGTTTTCGTTGACATTCTATTTCGAAATCAATCAACGGGCACGTGTTCGGTTTTGGGTTGATAGCTTTCAGCCATAACAATGCCTATTACAATGTTTGTGGCCATTTGTAGTCTGAGCTTGCGAAAAGGGCTCCATATGACAGCTAACATTTAAATTAGCATCTATTTTTAGGCTGCCAAGCGATGCGGGGTCGAAAAAGAATTATAAACAAATTTGTGAATGTTATCAAAGTACATTTTAAATTAGCCATTTTATGCACAACAAATTCATCAAAGAAAACAATTTTCAAGCAACCTTCAAGCATTTAAATTCACGGAATGAAAAACTTACAAAAACTATAAGAAGTCAAGACTTTATGTAGAGTCTCGAAAGTTGGCCAATTATGTGCTCTTCGCACAGTTAAAGAGAACCTTTCAATGGTTGACTCTCTCTTTTACACCAATTGCCGAACCAGCCAAAAGCTTGCGCTTATCTGTTATCGAAAATTGTCCACACACAACAAATAAAACGCCGGACAACTCGTAAAAATGATAGTACTCCAGCAGACGTCCGTAGGCAACACACAAATAAAATTTCAGGATGCAGCTGCTTCACCTATTCTTACTGCTGTCGGCTAGTTTGGGCCATGTATGGGGCTACTCCTACCTATTGATATCGCCCACTGCGGCAAAGTCACACTTCTATGTGGGTCAGGCCTTGGCCAAGGGTCTGGTTGCCGCAGGACACGAGGTCACGGTGATCTCGCCGTTTCCACAGAAGAAGCCCATCAAGAACTACGTGGATGTGGCAACGCCGAACATAATAACAGCCATGGCTGGTAAGTATCAATGGGTTTTACAGTGGGAAAGTCACGTAACTGTTATCAGTTATTCACCGTCTGATAATAATCGACGTGCAAAACGAAATCCAGGTTCTTTCTTTCACAATCAATGAAATTAATGGATTGCTTAACATTCCAGTCAACAAAGCTAGAATTCTGGACGTTGCTAAAATACATTTAGTATTCCGCCTGCCTGTTATGCATGCCATGGGTCTCAAGCTGACCCGAACTTTGATGGAGGAACCTGCGGTACACACACTAATGGCACAGAATCACACCTTCGACGCGGTCATCTGCGAAGTATTCATGAATGAGGCTCACTTTGGCTTTGCCGAACACTTTCAGGCACCGTTGATAGGCCTGAGTACTTTTGGAGCTTCTACTTGGACCACGCAGCTGGTTGGCACGCCATCGCCGCCCTCCTATGTGCCCAACTTTCTGCTTCATTTCAGCGATCACATGAGCTTCTTCGAGCGCGCACACAACCTAATCTTCACGGCGTACGAGCTGATTTACCAGCACTTCTTCTATTTGCCCCAGCAAAAACAGCTCTATAAGAAATACTTTCCCAATAACAAGCAGGAATTCTACGACCTGCGAAAGAATACAGCGTTGGTGCTGCTCAATAATCACATCTCACTGGGCTTTTCCCGACCCTATGCTCCGAACATGATCGAAGTGGGCGGCATGCACATCAATCGCAAGAGCCAATCGCTGCCGCAAAACATAGAGGAGTTCATCAAAGGCGCCAAGCACGGAGTTATCTACTTTTCCCTGGGCTCAAATTTAAGGAGCGCAGACTTACCGCTGGAAAAGCGTGAAGCATTTGTGGAAACGTTCCGGAATCTCAAGCAGCGCGTGCTCTGGAAATTTGAGGAGCCCAATTTGACTGGCAAGCCAGACAATGTCTTCATTTCGGACTGGTTCCCGCAAGACGACATTTTGGCGCATGAGAATGTCATCTTATTCATTACGCATGGCGGCCTCCTGAGCACCACGGAGTCCATTTTCCACGGAAAACCCGTCTTGGGCATTCCCTTTTTTGGTGATCAGTTTATGAACATGGCACGTGCAGAACAGGCTGGCTATGGAGTTACAGTAGCATATTCCAAACTGACAAGAGAGACATTCCAGAATGCCGTAGACAAAATACTAACTAATCCCAGCTACACGGAGCAGGTGCGTGAGATGTCCTCTAGATTCCGGGATCAGCACGAAACGCCGCTGGAACGCGCCGTCTACTGGGTGGAACATGTGACTAGGCAGAAGGGCGCAAGGTACTTGAGAAGCGCTGCTCAGGATCTCAGCTTTATACAATATCATAACTTGGATGTTTTAGTTATGCTCGTTGGAGGATTATGTTTGGCTCTGTTTGCCGTTTTTTATTGTCTGGCGGCTCTTGTGAGGGTCATTGGTAAAAAACAAGGTGGAAAGTCCACAAAAGTAAAAAAAAATTAATTTTGGTTTATTGTACTACAAATGTAATGGCTCTTAAGAAATTAAAATTGATAAGTAAGGCTTACAAATGGTTCATTTGAAAAACACTGTGAAGTGTTCTATTAAATTTAAAATTTGTTTCCCTGACATACGATTGCCGCAAAGAAAATATTAAGAGTGTTTATATTGTCTTTGATTGCAGCTTACAGAAATATCATAAAAAGAAATATCATAATAGAAAATAAAAGGACACCTAAATTTGTTCAACAATTCAACATACTTATATGTGTTTTCAATATGATGATAAATATGTAAATATTCTTCTTGTATTTCCAGAACTTCAAGTTTTGAATACAAATACATTCCAGTCGTTTTAAAGAGAACATAAGAGCGTGTTCTACTTAAGAGAAAATATGTATATGTAGGTTCAGTATAAGAACTGTTAAGATTGAATACATACATACATGTATATGGGATCGTTTACATAAACTTGCTGTTATTTCATAAAATTATAAGCAATTTCGTTTGACTGAATACATTCTTAATATGTGTTTGTGTATATACATACATATGTATCAATCATTATTATCAGTCACTAACTCCTAAGAGCAATACAAGAGAATTTGTTAATTTCATGTTTTTTTACCGGCTTGCAAAGCAACAAAGCAAAATATATATGTACATACAATCATACATATATTTCTATGAGCATATAAAACCGGCGCGCATCGAAACACGAATGAGAGGACAAAGCAGACTTGCAATAAAGCAAAAGAACTGATAAAGGAAAACAAACTCAGGCGGCATGATAAGCAAGTACACTACAAATATGCATGCAAATACATACATATAGAGTATGTGATCTATGTGATGATTTATGTATGTGATTAAATTATAAAGCACTTGAATACCAGTTGACCTATGTTTGACGCATGCTGATGAAATAATTTGCCCAAACACAGAAATGAAAAGAGCGTAGAGTACTTGGACAGTCGCCATGACTTAATTATTGTTAGGCAGCCAGCCGCTATATTTACCGAATTTGTGTGAGCATTTCGTTAGTTTGAAACGAGGTAGCAATACGTGTGGATCGCGCATGGAATAGATTGAACAATTTCTCGATGTGAATTACACATTACAAAGTTACTTGCAATTATTAGTTTACTACTGTGATTAAAATACAACATTTCAAATGTCGCATTCAAACAACAAAACCAGTTTCATAGGCCTCGCGCTATTGTGCCTGCTGAGCAGCGTGGCGGCCTATAACTACCTGTTGGTGCTACCCACCTCCGCACGTTCGCACTACAATGTGGGTTCGTCGCTGGCCAAGGGCCTGGCGGCAGCTGGTCATCAGGTGACCCTTGTCTCACCCTTTGCACTAAAAAAACCAATTAAGAATATTAACGATATGCCGCTGCCGAACGTCTTGAAAGCTATGGGGGGTAAGTAAACGCCAGTAGAGCTCGGTTTATATTTGTTATTTAATCATCAAATCGAACAATATGTAACCTATCCTATCGAGTTGTCAAGTAAACAATAATCGCTAAATGCAGTTGTATAAGTATTGGTATAGGAAACGGAGAAATGGAGCAATGTAAGAGGCCCAGTTTTCAACAAATAAAAATACAAATTTATTTATTCTCATTTTTCTATACTCCAATATGATGGCATATACAAATAAAAAAAATGTTTAAATAAATCATATATCTGTTATATAGCTGTTATCAAACATCCAGGAATTGTGACACGATATTTGAAATATAATTTGACTTAAAATCGACAGCCATAAACGGGAGACACATAAAAAATGCGAAAAGCTTGTATTTCGTATAATTTGAAGCTGTGTACAGTGTTTCAAGAAATTGTTTTGACAAAGCGAAAATTTCATATATTTCAGATTAATATGAAATGTAAAATGCATTCTTTGAATGCTTTTATATAAATATCAAATATTTTATACCGATTTCCATTACTTCAAGAAAAAAAAAAAAAATAACAATTCTTTGTAATAGTTTTTCTAGCGCTTGACAAGATTATCGCTTACTTTATGAAATAGATCTAGACCGGCGCGGTTGCCTATCTATCATTTATATATACGTACACATTAATCTACTGTTAATGATCGTACATACATGTATACCCTGTTTTTTCGCTCGTATTGGGTATTGGATATGTCAACCCTCAGTTAGTATTGAGAAAAATATTCCATTTATAAATAAGCTAATCCAAATATACATATATTTTTGGCAACAAGCTTTCGATGCTATTTTAACAAATGTTGTTCTAAACATGCTTTCATACCTTTCAGGCGATATAGACAGCCTATTGAAAAAGTCAGAACAGCCCATTATACAACAAATTGTTGGATTCTATGATATGGGTGAGTTCACAAAATAGAATTATTGATCGTTACTTAGTGCTTCTATTAATGTTATTGTTTTATATATTAAAGGCCTACGCATAACTGAAGCATTACTTAAGGATCCGCTCGTGGTTCAGTTGCGACAATCAAACCAGACCTTTGATGCTGTCATCAGTGAGGTGTTCCTGAATGAGGCCCAATTTGGTCTGGCTGAACATTTCAAAGCGCCACTCATTGGACTGGGCACATTTGGAGCCATTAGTTGGAACACAGATCTGGTAGGTGGCCCTACGTATGTGAATCTTAAAAGCTTTACTCACACTTTACCTTCTGACAGGTTGGCTCGCCTTCACCACCCTCGTACGTACCGCATGCGCTGCTCAAGTTCTCGGATCATATGACCCTGACCGAGCGAGTTATCAATTTGGCCTTTCTTAGCTACGAGTATCTGTTCATGAAGCTGTACTATTTACCGAAGCAAGAGCACATCTATACCAAGTACTTCCCTCAGAATAAGCAGGACTTTTATGACATGCGCAAGAACACGGCGCTGGTGCTGCTTAATCAGCACGTCTCGCTGAGCTTCCCCAGGCCCTACTCGCCCAACATGATCGAGGTAGGCGGCATGCATATCAATCGCAAGCGTCAGCCGCTGCCGCAAGACATTGAAGAGTTCATTAAAGGTGCCAAACACGGCGTCATATACTTCTCCATGGGCTCTAACTTGAAGAGCAAGGATCTGCCGCAGGAGAAACGTCTGGCACTAATTGAAACTTTTAGCAAGCTCAAGCAGCGCGTGCTTTGGAAATTTGAGGAGCCTAATTTGCCCGGCAAACCGGAGAATGTTTTTATCTCGGACTGGTTCCCGCAGGACGATATATTGGCACATGAAAATGTAATCTTGTTTATCACACATGGCGGTCTGCTGAGCACCACAGAATCCATTTACCATGGCAAACCTTTTGTGGGCATTCCCATTTTCGGCGATCAGTTTCTGAATATGGCTCGTGCCGAACAGAATGGCTATGGCCGGACTGTTGTCTATGAGGAGCTAACTGCCGAGCGGCTGACCAAGGCTATTCAGCAGCTCGTGCAGGATCCGCATGCCAAACAACTGGTCGAGGGCATGTCCTCTCGCTATAAAGATCAGCCGCAATTGCCGCTGGAGCGTGCCGTCTACTGGGTGGAGCATGTGACCAGGCATAAAGGTGCAACGTACTTGCGTAGTGCATCACAGGACCTGAACTTTGTGCAGTATCACAATTTGGATGCCATTCTGATTCTGTACGGCGGCATTCTGTTTGTGTTTTACTGTCTGCTATTGCTCATACGCCGTGTGTGGCGCGCCCTGCAGGACATCTTTATGAGTCGCCAACAGAAACAGCCGAAATTGAAGCGTAATTGAGTTAAAAACAAAGCTTAAACCCTAAGACATGTTTATGTTGTATTTTGTAAATGGTATCTGTATCTATAGGGGCCGCATGTTACGCCTTTGCTTCTGCTTAAGCTCATAAAAATTTCAGTGCGAGCTGCGGTTAGTTTTGCTGCCGGCGCCAAACTTGTAAAATAAAATCGAAAATATTTTGTATAGCTATCGACAATTTTCACTTCGCTGTGCGTGGGTGGCCCTCTATTTTAAGTTTTTTTTTTATTGCTCTATTTTTGTTTCTTTCTTTGGCTAGTTGCACATAGTTAACGTTTCAGTTGTAAAAATGCCCATCAGCGCGCTCAAATTTTCAACAGTGAACCCAACAGAACTAGTGCCATGGCCACGCCCACGCTCCTGCACAAATGTCCGCCTACACTCAGCGCCGTGTTTTTTTCTACAGTTGTTTCCCGAATGTTCATGGCTGGGGTGCTGTATGCTCGGGAAGGGGTCCAAGAGGCGTGTAAAAGTTTTAGCGAAACTTATTGAAACTGTTTTGGGCCATGGCCGCGCTGGAAAATCAGCGTCCGCGCCGGAAATGTTGGTGGCGGTAATGGTGGCGGCCGCATTAAAACTGCAAGCAAGAAATATACAAAAAAAATATATAAAACTGGAAAACAATGGGAAAAAAAAGGGTGGTAAAAAATGCCAGGGAAAAAAAACGCAACTGTTGTTATTATTGTTTTTGTTGTGGTAGTCGTTGTTTCAAGGCTTCCTGTTGATGCGGCTTAGCGATGAGTTTTCAAAATTATAATATTTCAAATATTCGTCAACTGATCAGGGAAAGGCGAAATAGACAACTTTATATATATACAATATTTAATAACGATTGGAGCCTTTCTTATGCATCTAACTATCATGGTTTTGTGGAGGTTACAATTCTCTTGCTTAAGTTGCCATTTTATAAATGAATCTAGGAATATCTTAATTAAAAATTCTATCCTGGCTGACGGAGTTTCTACTAAACGCATTAAAAACAACTTAACCGTATAATTTTTCATTACAAACGTGGAGTTATGAGACTGAGCATCGTACAGACAAGGGTAGTCGCCGGTTCGACTCCAGAAGAGATTTAAATTTATGTTGTTGTTGTTTTGTCATAAAAAAGCTGTTGTAGGTATTTTTTGACAGGTCTCAGCCAGACTTTTGTTTAAATAAATTAAAGCAACATTTTTTTCCTTTTCTGCTGTACGCATACAACCGAGGACCAGTGTATATCAGCTGTGTGAATCTTTGTTGTTTTGTGGCTTTTTTTTTAAAGCTGGCATTAAGTAACTTCTGGGCAAAGCCCCACACAGCGTTGCGGGAATCACATGCAAAATCTATAAATATACAACACTGCACTTGATTCCAAGCAGTATCAGTGTACGCTGAGCCGCAAGATGTTCAGCTTCATGGTGTTCGCTTGGCTGCTGTCCTGCAGTACTGTGCTAGGCGTTGAGGTTGACTTGCCACTGGGCCGCATACGTGGTACCAATCTGACATCGAGACTGGGTGTGCCGTTTCATGCTTTTCGCGGCATACGCTATGCAGAGCCGCCGCTGGCTGAGTTGCGATTTAAAAATCCACAGCCAGTTAAGGCCTGGGCACCGGCTACTTTCGATGCAGAGCAGGACGGCCCCATGTGCCCGCAGCCGTGGGACAATATGACAGATGTTTCAGAAGACTGTCTTCGCTTGAATGTCTATACGAAAAATCTAAACGCAACTGCTCGTCTGCCAGTCATTGTGTTTCTGCATCCAGGTGGATTCTACGTTTTCTCCGGTCAGAGCAAATACTTTGCCGGCCCGGCACATATGATGGATCGCGATTGTGTACTGGTCACACTGAACTATCGTTTGGGGAGCCTGGGGTTTCTAGCCACAGGCAGTGCAGATGCCCCTGGCAATGCTGGACTCAAGGATCAGGTGCTGGCCCTGCGCTGGATTCAGCAGCACATCCATCACTTTGGGGGTGATCCTCAGTCGGTGACGCTGCTGGGTTACAGTGCGGGCAGCCTGAGCATCGGTTTGCACATGTTGTCGCCGATGTCGCGAGGACTGTTCCATCGTGGCATTTGTATGAGTGCCTCGCCCTATGGCCAGTGGGGATATTCGACAGCGGATGTGCAGCTGGCACAGCGCCAGGCACGTCTGCTGAACTGCCCAGAGCAGCCACTCAATGACTTGGTCAGTTGCCTGCGCGAGAAACCCATGCAGGACTTTGTTAGCTCCTACAACGGCATGTTCGAGATTGGCTGGAATCCAGTGCTCAACTGGCTTCCAGTCATTGAGCAGGACTTTGGTCAGGAGCGTTTTCTGCTCGAGCATCCATACAAAACGGCTCAAAGTGGCCACTTTTACAAGGTGCCTCTTATCACTGGCATCACTGAGTTTGAATTTCTCTCGGGCGCATTCTGTGAGTATGTGTATTTGCAGCGTTATGCATGCTAATCCGTTTCACCTTACAGTTGATTTGCGCAATGACAGCATACGCAACAAGCTTAATGCTAACTGGGAGCATTTTGCACCTATAGCGCTGCTCTTCGAGCGGGACACGCCCCACTCGCGGCAGGCCAGTGCTGTGCTACGAAACGAGTATCTGGGCAGTGGTCGTATCGAGAATCCGAGATCCCTGCAAGGCCTGGGTAGGCTCTATAGTGATGCCCTCATAGGCGTCGAGTACCATCGATTTATGCGCCTAATGGCCCCCCATACACCTATATACACGTACTATTTTCGCTACAAGGGACGCTATAGCTTCCTGAAGCATCCCGATACCAATCAAACTTTTGGTAACTATTGAGAGCAAACAAATATATGAGACAAGTTAAGATAATGTATTATTCCAGGTGCCGTACATCATGATGAACTCTTGTATTTGTTCAACGTTCCGATCCTAACTCCTCTCTTTAAACAGAGCGACCCCGAGAATTTGCTTATTGAACGGCTCACACGAATGTGGACTGAGTTTGCCAGAAAGGGGTATATATAAATGAAAACAAATATGTGTCTCAATACTTATTCTTATAATTCTATTAGTGATCCTCACAATGCAACTGATGAATACTTACGCGGTCTTCATTGGCCTTTATACAATTTCCATGATCAAGCGTACTTAGAAATTGATATCAATCTAACAGCGAAAACTGGAAACATTCACGAAGAACGTTTCAGAGTTTGGGATGAACTGTTTCCGTTTCCGAGCTTCTAATTAAAATATTACAATGTTACTCTTACACACATGATGACATGCAAGATTTAAATTAAAAATGCAGAAAATGCGCTTTCCAGTCCAATAATAGCTTACATATATCAATTTTTTTCTATTTGCCACTCCCCTGTAGTAGGCGTATACATAATATTTTGAAATAATATACCCTTCTTAGCTTTTGGCTTAAGATTTTACAGATATGTGAAGAGAATAATAAAGCTCGTAATTGCTGAGCGTCAAAAAATATCTTGTATATAAATATTTTTTCAGATTATGTCGAACATAAACTTAATATTGGACAGACTCTTCCTATAGAGTTTTATGATATACTAGTACGATTTAGTTTAATCTTTTCCCATTTAGTAGAACGTGAGCTCCCGACTAGGGGATACCCAGAACCCCCTTTTTAAAACATCATATGAATATATATATTCTATTTTAGAAGCTATATGTCAAGATTGGTGACTTTACCGAAATTGCCCAAAAAACAGGATATCGATATAGATTTTTATCGATTGCTTGGAAACTGAGTAAGTTATCGATTATCGGAAACAAACTCGATTTGCGCAGGCACTAGGAGCACCTACATCTAAAATTTCAAGTCTCTAGATGTTATAGGTTCTGAGATCCTTGCGTTCATACATACGGACGGACGGACGGACGGACATGGCTAAATCGACTCGGCTATTGATGCTGATCAAGAATATATATACTTTATGGGGTCGGAGCTGCTTCCTTCTGCCTGTTACATTCATTTGGATTTTGCACAAATACAATATACCCTTATACTCATTTTTAATGGGACTTGTAGGTGGTTGTAGGGTTGTAGGTTGTAGAACCTCTTACTTGTTTTATTTTAAAATTGTTCACGACTTAAAATAAAAAGTTTTACTGGGGCTACTCTTTCCATCCACATATCGTTATACAGATGGCATAAAGTAGTCTCAGACTCAAATAAATGTTGCTAGCGAGGCAAATCATTTTCTAAATCGGAAGCTTGAAGAACTGATTAAAACGTATTACCTGAAAACTTCTTTCTATTTGCTTTCTAGTTACCGTAACAAATCAATTAAGAAATATTTATGTTATTAAATGAAATTCGAAAAATATATTAAATAAAAATCATTTTTAAAGCCCGACATAAAAACTTAATGAATACGTGTCACAGCGATTTCGCATATTCCACCCGCAACTGTGGACATTTGGCGGAAGATTCCAACTTTTGCTTCTTATTTAATCAACCTTGAATATATTTTCAAATAGACGTGGAGTTAAATATGTTGATTTAAGTTTTTCGCAGGCGGGAATATGTCACGAGTCTGGGTATACCCGCTAGCAATATATAAATATAAAATATTAATATTAAAGAAAAATAAAATATAAAAAATAAATATAAAATATAAATATAAATATAAAATATATATATATATAAAACTGTTTGTTTTGACTGACTAACTGACTGACTGACTGACTAACTGACTGACTGACTGACTGACTGACTGACCGAGAGATTGGCGATCAACGCACAGCCCATACCTTAAGAGCTCGGAAGCTGAAATTTTCAGTGCACTTAACTTATGTGATGCAGGTGCACAACTAGAGCACTCTTAATATTAAAAATGATATTATTATACAACTAAATAATACCCGTACAGCGTATTCTTTACTCTTTGTAAATTTGATTTTAGCAATGTGATATGTACGTATATGTACCTCTGCCAGGCGCACACACATTTCGGTGAATTGCTAATATACTTGTTATAATCAATAAATATATATCCTAGCGTGTTTTCCCCGGCTTTGCGGCGTTGCCCGTGGCAAGTATTTCGCAAAGGAGGAGTGGAATTCGATATCGATCGGATCGTAAACAAAAAGGGGTGCCAATTTCCAAGCGGACTTCAAACATTGCAAAACACCGTCTTATCGTGCACCCTAACCATTTAAGGTAACTACAGTCACAGTTTCAACATATCGGCCAGTCAGTTAGTTGCGTCACACAATTGTATATATATAGATGTAGATAAACAGAAACAAACAGATCAAAAGATGAAATAAACTTTTATTCAATGAGCTTTTGTAGCAAGTACTGTGGTGAAGCTACTCTAGCAATACATATCGGGTAGCAACGGTGACGGCGGTTGGCAGCCAATCTTCACAAAATAATTCGGGAAGTAGTCACCGAGGCCCCTCGTGGTTGAGTTAGCATGGCAGGGCGGGATCCTCTTGTTCCCTAGCTCTTTCGGGTGGGGGGGTTCTTTTTGCCATGTCTCGACCTGCATACACAATTTTATTTTAGGATCCCTACAGAATCTAAATTGGAGACCGATACTCCGCAGAAACAAAATCTCAAACAGGCATAACTTAACGAGCACTTAAAGTGCCAATACAATGGTGATAGCTTTCATTAGGGCATATATATTCCGAAGAGGCGAAGTCTTGGATGTAAGCTGACTCTCGCGTTCGATACCCTCCCAACCATGATCTTCAGCGTTTAAGGTTTTGAAGATCCCAAAAAAACATTCTTCTACTACATTATATCACCATGTCACCAGGAAAGAAAACTTAGCAATTCATAATCAAAATCCGTAATTAATATTTATTATAAACAAAAGCATTATTCAATGAAACTGAATCCTTCCGTTAGATAATCTGCATCTTATTACAAGTGGCATTAATGATTCAACAATAATTCAGTAACTAAAACTAGTCCGTTAATATTTTTACAATGTCTCAAAGATTCTTCAAAAATAATTCATTTTATAAACTATTCAGTTAATATTTTTTTTTCTTATTGATCAAAAAGAAACTCTCCAAATTTCGCTAAAGTGCATTTTAATAATTATAGAATATAGCTAGGTAAGAAAAAAATGACATTCGTAAATTGAACTAAAGTGTATTCGGCAAAAGCAAAAAAAAAAAAGTTATTATAATAGAGTCAATACAATTGTAGTTGATGGTTAATTGTATGGTCGAAAAAAATATGGGCAACAGAAGGTTAAGCTCAAAGCGCATGGGCAAATCGGAGCGCAGCGCAACCAGCTGATCGGTGAATACGATGATACATCTTTGTGTACATATATTTGATTCTGTTAAAAATCTTTTCTTTTAGGTTGCTTCTGTTTCAGCTAGTAATTGAGCGGGGTGTAGGTAGAATCAAAGATGATAAGCATTCACCAGACTGACACGGTCATAAACATATTGATCGGAGCTAAAGCGTAATGTGAAACAGAAAGTAAAAAAACTCAGCAGGTGCGCATGTCAGTTTGGCTGTGCTTATCTGTGCCAAAATAAGAAAATATACTCAAAACAAAAGGTTAAAAACTTACATGTATTCCTCGATGAAAGGCCTTCCAGCGGAGAGTTTGCAGCAAATTTTATTTATTTTTTTTTTCATTTGTTTTCTTTTGTCTTCTGTGGGGCTTTAAATTGTTTTGATTATATTATTATGGCACAGGAGGGTTTTTAAATTGTGAGTACTAAGAAGATACTCTCCGAAAATAAGTGGGAAAAAAAAATATAAAAAAATTCTGAAATGACTTTGGACTCTACAAGAAGGGGGATAGATTTATACTAGTATTCCTTTCTATATATATAAAGCTATGTATATAGATGTCAATTTTGCTTTTTCACTGCACTTGCACGCGGTTTTTTGAGGGCCTAATAAATGCACTTTTCACAAACTTTTGGAAGTCTCTCACAAGATTTAGTTAACAATTTTTTTACTAAAAACATTTAACAGCAATTTTCATGCATCTGCACGCTCCGGCCAACTTAATTGGCGATGTCATCTGGGCTTCTGATCAGCGGCGCGTCAATGGGGCCCAGAAGGCTACTGCCTCTTCCGGATTCCAAACTGTGGAAACGGCGCCTGCCCTTGCTGGCATGAGCAAGGGTATGGCAGCTGATCCGCCGTTGAGGCTGACGTCTATTTAATGGGGGCAGAAATGTCATTGCCGTCCCAAGAAATTACAGTGCCGTCCAATTGGCACACGTGGCGGCTGCCTCAAAATAAGTGGGTTTTTCTGTCAGAGACGGCGGCGGCAAGATTTATTCCTCCAAAAATTACTTTCGGCAGGCAAGCAAGAACTGGTTAAAACTGTGACCAGATCTTGGCACAAAGAAATATATGCCGGTGAGGTGCTGGTGGCCGGGTGGCGGAGCGAAAGGTTATCATCAAATGAACAAAAAAAATTTATTTCGCCAATCGGTTACTTTTAGGGTTTTTCTTTTTATTTTTTTGTTGTTTTTGGTTCAATTTAGTTGGAATTTAAATTAAACGAATTAAACGACTGATGCCCGAACTTGTTGCTTTTAGATTAATATTTTGGTGGGGCTATGTCCGCACCGCCGTAGCCAGACCTTCGATGGTAAAGTAACTTTTGAAAAAAAAAAGGGTTATATCCGGGACCTGCAGGCTTATATAGGGTCTCAGAGCTTTTTTCTTTCCCGGATTAGAGGGAAGATAGCTGCGCTGCCAACGTGCACGCAGGCGGTTTATAGCAGCGGCTGACTCATTCGCAGCTGACCATGACAGACAAAAGCTGATCGCTATAGCGTCGTTACACAAACGCAAGCTGTTAGGATCGCTTACGCGGTTTAATTTAAATAGGAAAACTGCGACCATTACACCACCCGATAATATCCTACCGTTAGACGGGTATATTAGCGGGAATTAGACTCTAATGTCCTTGGCATGAAAAGTACCAATTTCTTTTCCTTGCTGATTTTCAAGGGAATAAAAACAATTTCCGAGTTTCTTTTTGACACGGCATTTAATAAACTGGGGAGCCAGTTTAGCATTAAAATTGTGTGAGAATTTACTAAGCGCAAAATTTCGACAGAACACCTCCTGTCCTTCACGAAAAGAAACAGGCTTGCTGCGTAAATTATATTGAGCCGCATTGCGCTCATAGGCTTTCCTGATGTTTTTCTGAATATCTGTCCTTAGCAATGCCAAATGGTCAGACCGCAACAGGGGGGCCTGCGGTTCTTCCAATAAGGACAACTCCTTCAATAATTTGTAATCGGTACCATGAGTGATCATATCCACCCCGAATAGGGCACGGTATGGAGAACACCCAATCGATTGGTGCAGAGCAGACCTTAAGGAGCATGAAATCCCTGTAATATGTTCATCCCAATGGGTCTGATCCTGTTTTAAATACGAGCGAATGGCGGCGAGTATTGAGCGGTTAACTCGTTCTGCAGCATTGCTCTGCGGTGAATATAGAGCTGTATACAGATGTTTAATGCCAAGTTCGGCTAAGAAGGCATTGAACTCACGAGCTTTGAACTGGGTGCCGTTGTCACTTATTATAGTTTGTGGCACACCAAAACAATGGAAAATTTGTTCAAGAAGAAATTTTTGTATCACAGCTGAGGTGAATTTCTTCAGGGGCTGCAACCAATGATACTTGCTAAAGTGATCTAAGACTATTAACAATCCCACATGACCGCTTTTGCTTCTAGGGTATGGCCCAAGCAGGTCAATATAAAGCCTTTGAAATGGTCTGCAAGTTGGGATGTGAGCACCCATAGGTGGCCGAAGGGTATAATTTGGAGCCTTAGTTTCTTTACATATCTCGCAATTTCGTATGTATTCACGTACATCTTTAACTAATCCTGGCCAGAACAAATGTCTGCGGATTCTCTCAATGGTTTTTTTGCATGCCGGCGTGAGACGACGTTATGCTGTCATGGGCTTGTTTGAGCACATCGACTTTAAGTCGATCAGGCACCCATAGTTTCCACGAAGGACTTTCTTGTGACGAGTCTCCCCTCGAATGTTCGGTGCGTACATACAAAAACTTATCAACTATTTTTATGTCCGGAAACTGAGTAAAATTTTGGGAAAATTTGTCTTTAATTTGTACATAGCTGGCGTCCATAAATGTATCGGACTCAAGATCTATTACAGGACCCATGTCTAATTGAGCGATTTCCT